CACCACGGCTGAAAGGGCGAGCATGTTTGGTGTGACGGGGATTCGAACCCGCGACCCTCAGATTGCGAGTCGAGCTTCCTAACCACCTGACCATGCTGGGTCTGCGGAGGAATGGATCTCCTTATGAAGAGTTTGTTTGTTTGAAGTTAACCACAAAGCTACACAATGGGCTATCTGTGCTCTGGGTATCGAAATCCGGTTTCCAGAGTTATAAGTCCGCAGACATACCGCTCTGCCACTGGGGGGACATTGATGAAGAGAAATGTGTGCTTTTCGAAACACGTGGAGTAAATGTTATTATTTTTTATTATCATTATGATTTGGTATCCATTATTTTTCTGTAAGCTTTATTTAACTTGTAATTTTTAGTTTGTTAGTTTAGTGGTTTTATTCAGGCAACAAAAAGGTTGAATTAAACAAGCAGAGACATATAAACTTTTTTTTATTTGTAAACATGTGTTTTGTTCCCCACCCCCGTATAATCTATCTATGTACATATATTGTACGTGTCATTTTCCTATGTTAATTGTCGTTAATCTGTTACTTAATAGTAGTAATACTTGTACTCTCACGTGTAATTCATATGCCCCTATAGTGATAGTTGCGAGCCTGCTTCCGACTCTCCCCATCCCCCACCCTCCCAAGGGGTTGCCTCCCCACATCCTACAGAAAGCGACATTAGAGCGTGAAAATTTGTTATAATTTAGTTCCTACTTAATAGCGGATGGATTTGTTGGTTATCAGTATTGAACACATAATTAATAGCGGATGGATTTGTTGGTTATCAGTATTGAACACTCATAATTAATAGCGGATGGATTTGTTGGTTATCAGTATTGAACCCAACAAATCCATCCGCTATTAATTATGAGTTTGCTTATGGTTCCATGACTTTTTATGGTTAAAGGTCTCTAATAACATACAAAAAATTTAAACAAAAGTATCGTTCATCTCTCAATTAATTCTACTAATTACTAACGGGGGTTGCCTTCAAATTTTACTCAATTCTTTACACTCAGCCCCCAGTGGCACAGCGATAAGTCTGAAGGCTTATAACGCTAAAAATCGGGTCTCGATACCCGTGGTTGGTACAGCACAGATAGCCCATCGTGTAGCTTTGTGCTTAACAACAATTAAGACTTCACACTCGGTGCTATAGCACTGTTAGTTAAGAGTTTAACGTTAAATCATTAGGTTCACGAGACTGCAGTTGAAATGTCTTAGTCTTTATATTATTATCTCCCGGTGGTCCAGGGGGTAGGTTCACGGGCTTACAACTCGCGGTGGACAGAGTGCAGATAGCCTACTGTGTAGCTTTGCACTGAAGAAACATCTACTTTATACTGTTTTAAAAGTTGGTAAATTAATCAATAGATGTCGCCACAAATGCGTAAGATAAAATTATATTTTTGTTAACCATAGAATTTCCAATGGACCCATCTGTTTATTAAACACCGTTAATAAACAGGAGGTGAAGATAGACTAAAATAATGAAAAGTCTTGAATCGATTATTTAGTTTCAAATATAGAAAAAAAAATTGTAATCGACTGTCAGATATTTGATTTGAAAAATGCTGGTCTGGTTTTTGTTCTTGTTACGACATCGAGGTCACGTGACTAGTATCACGCCACGTCATTCTCGAACTTTCACGTCTTTTCCTTAAATCTCGTGATCCTTCTAAATATAGTGTAGTCTTGTATATATAAGACCGGCCACGAAGCGACGGGGAGGTAATGAGTAATTGAATGTATGCGGACAACAACTTTACGATACACTTAATTTCAACAGTCGCTCTATAACAAACGCTATAACTCACGTCTCACGTGGCCAACAATATTTATTCGGAAAGAATAAACCAGTTTATATAAGAAAGGACTTGTGTCGCTAAAGTTTCGTTGGAACGAATTTACGGAAAATTAATTAACGAATGAATGGAGATGTAACAATATAAAATAAGAACGTCCTATCTTTTCTATTTGCTTTTTTATACCTATCATCCCACTGCTCTTTCTAAACATGTACCTAGTTCTTAAAACCCATTTCCTTTCTTTAATATATCAGTCATTTATCAGAATCTAATTGTAATGGTACATAACACTTTATACCAGTGAGGTATAAGATCAGTAGTTTCTGTGACATTACAACATAATAAACCTGATAACGATCTTTATGAAAATTGTCTTTACTATTGTTTCCAGTAAGAAGAAGTCTTTTAACAACACACACATCATGTACTGTACACTGCTGTTGATGAGGCCTTTTGCTCAATATTACAACTCATTAGGGTGGCTGGGTATGCAACACACAAAAATCACTTGTTTCTATTAGACTTGCATACAAACATTTCCATAAGTTCCTAACTGATTCACTATACATTTCTATAAGCAAGTAATGTTTATGGTTAAAAATAAAGTTGACCTAAGTTTACATAATAAACATAAACAGTAGAACAATTTTGATGGAAAGAATATTTTTGCACTAGTTTTCAAGTCTCTATGTAGTACCAAATATATAACTTACAAGTCTTGCTTGTTCTGCAATTCGCTGTTTATTAGTTGCTCTTTGAGATTTTAGAATTGCAATTTCATTATCTTTATCATAAACATCAGTATCATATTTCTGAGTCCAGTATTCTGTTTTTTGCTGAAGTTCCTGTGATGCATAATAATAATAAAAATACGTTACAATATCAGAACTATTAGTAAAAATGAGGAGCAACTTATAAAAAAATTAAAATTTGTTAAAAAAACACATATTTGCACATTTTGAAATTTTGATTCTGTGTATTATATAATACTTATTAAGTTCTTCTTTAAAAAAATTCATCATACTGAAGTTTTTATATAATTATGAATTATTCTTTTTTAAAAAAAATCATCATCTTACATCACAGTTTACCAATATCTTTTGCTTTGACTAAGCGAAAAGCTAAAGATGAAAGGGAGTATTTATCAAAGCTGGTTTTACTGAAAAAAAAACAGCATTTACCATATTTTCTGTCATCATATACCTGTTGTTAGATATAAATACGAGTGTTATGAGTTAGATGGTTTAAGTTTCATGCAAGTGTTAATTATGATTCAGCTGGTTTAAGTTTAATGCGAATGTTATGATTTAGATGGTTTAAGTATAATAAGTTTTCTCATTGTTTTAATTGAGTATTATTGCATCACAAGCTGAGGTAGCTATACTTTGTCTGGGTTATGAACTTAAAAAAATGTGGAGGTGGATGCTTTGATAAATAACGGAAAAATCCTAACTTTCACACAATCTTTTATAGCATAGCATATTATCACAGTATTCATTATTACCTCATCAAAAGTTTTGCATAAGCTTTAAGATCTCAATATGTATATACTTAAAACATTGTATACACTGTGTGATGGTCAGGGTGACTTTGTAGAAAGAGGTAGCAGTCAAAGTAGTGGCAGTAGGAGTGGTCTCTGTTACCTACTTCGGGGGGGGGCTCGGTCAGAGGGGGTAGTTAGCCACCTCTTTAAGCAAAAGATAACAAAAACTTTTTATGCTTCTTTTAACATTGTTTTGTGTTCCTTGATTCACTACTTAATATCACGTCATTTGTCTGCATAAATATCTATTTATATTGTTTGTTTTACTTAAGAGAAACTACCTAAAAAGGTTTATTCCTTGTACTTCTCTAGTTTTATGCAAATATATAAATACAAAAAATATTGAAATTTTTGGTATTCAAGCAGCTTGCCCCCCCCCCCCTCGACAAAATAATGGCAGAGCACCTGCACTTTCAATGCTCAGCTCTTAATGTGTCCTTCCACAGTGTTTCACGTTATTAATTAATAGACGGTCACTGGCCACAGAAGTATCTTATGGGCCAAACTTGAAAGGTCACGGGTAAAAAAAACGGCTCTTCATATCAGCCTTATGGTGGCTGTTGGAGTAGATACTTCAATTGAGTTTATGTATTACTGCAGTAGTGTCAGCCATTTTTCTTCATTGTATTCCTACATATAGAGTGCTAATGCACTCTCTGAGATATATAAGGCTTTTGTGTGCTCCCCCCACAGTGTATGTATTTTATGTTATAGAAACTTTAATAAACTATATTTTTTGTTGGTGTAAGGGCATGACACCATCTATGAATATGGTTAATGTTAACTTACACCAAAGATAATAAATGCTCAATAACAGCATTAATGGGGGTTCAGAGTGTTGTGAACCCCCACTAACATGCTCATTGTTCCAAACTATTATTCCGCAAAGTTTGTTTGAGATTGGCCCAGAGAACTAGGAGTAGTTAGATAACAGACAGACACATATTTTTGTGCTTTATATATATATATAGAGATAATATCTTGTAGTGTGCTAAATGTTCTAGGCCTTTTTTGGGCTATAAATACATGTGCAAAATATAGCTCGAAGTTGTCAGATAGATAGATCTAGACTGTGTGATTGTGAGTTTAGTCATAAAAAGTGTATAGTGGCGATTTTTAAATTTAAATTATCACATATTGTATTGTAATAACAGAGTAGAGAAGAATAATTCATCTTGTCAATTGTGTTCTAACATAATTCAATCAGCCTGTGTGGATTTTGACGAAAAGAGACAATTATTTAAAGCTCTGGATACAACTGTGGTAACTAACAGTTATAGTGGTGATTCTAAAGTGAAATTATCAAAGACTGTATTGTAATAACAGAGCAGGAAGAATAATTTGTCTTGTCAAAATGTCTTCTAAAATAACTGAACTAGCTTGTGTGGACTTTGAAAAAAAAAGAGACAATTATTTGAAGCTATGGATACAACTGTGATAACCAACAGTGTAATGAACATTTGTATATGCATTTGACTTGTTTTAATATATTATTTTGAAACAACTGGACTGTGTGCTGTATGTTTGTTATTGAAATTTATCATTTATCACCAACAAATCATACACACCTACTGTAAATAATCTGGTACATACATAGAAAAACTCATATTTGTAAAATACATTGCTAAAGAAACTAGTTCTTAAATTACTGTTGAAGAATTAAGAATTAGATTCTCCTAAAACATTGCCTGAATAAATCTTTTACCTCTTTTGTGAATATGAAAACGTTTAGAAATGGGATGATTCTTTTCTCAGGCTAACATTATGGAAATGCTTGTAAAAGTTAAAATCACTAAATTTCACTATTATCAAAAATGTACTTACACTTAGGTAATTAGCCAAAAAATTATCCATTTCTGCATGAGCTCTAGTTTCATAATCAATTTGGTCTCTTAGTTTCTGTGATAAAAAATGCAAGAAAGAGAACTTTACTAAAAGTTTTGTGTTTAATATTTTACTTCACATTTCTTAAATTAAACTTACTATAAAATTCTAAGTGAGTTGTATTTAGGACTTTATTAAATTGATATTTGTTTGCTTGTTTGTTTGTAGTTCAGCACAAAGCTACACAATGTGCTATCTGTGCTCTGCCTACCAAGGGTATCAAAACCAGTTTATAGCATTGTAAGTCTGCAGAGATATCACTGTGCCAATGGGGGGGGCTATTAATTGAAGAAAAACAACAAGGCAAGTTACCAATTTTTTGGTTTGAATAAATCTAAAATGTTTGTTTGGTTAAGTGTATTTTGTTTACTAACCACATATTTTCAACTACTATTGTTCATAGTTTCTAATATCTATGTAGACTAAAATGTTTACAATCACATTCTTTTCACATTAAACTATGTCTAAAAATAAACTTATAATATATTTGTGGAACTGCATTAGTTATTTAACATATTAATATCAAAATGCCAAATAAATCATACAGTTTTCTTAAAGGACTAGATCTACAACAAAAGCAGCAAGTTCTGATAATATATGATACATAGAGTTTAATGCAACTTTCATAAAAACAATGAAACTTGAATTAAACATAAAATTTCAAGAAATAATTAAATTTCCAGAGTCTTGAAAACAATCACAACATTTTTCGATTTTATAAATGTCTGTAAACAATGTAGCAAATCACACTTTAAATGAATTATGGCCATTAAATTTGACCATATTTATAGTATTATAACATTTTTAAACATCTTTTGATATCAGTATGCAGCTTACATAGTCCTTGAAAATATTATGTATAAAAATCGGAAATAAAGGCTGGAAACTGTTATAATCTATATATGCAATGTCTAGAGAACCAAGATTCCTATCCTGATAAATGTAAAGTTTCTTTACCTGAAAGTTTACTTCTGATAGACACTTAACTTGCATCACTATTGATATAGGGAATATTCTTTGCTCACTGTTCTGTACTAAGACAGTGCAGCAGAGGATATCAGGAAAATCTAGTACTTGTGGTAATGTGTCACCAAGATAGGCAGAACATTAGAATGTGTAGTGTGGCTGGGGTTTTAGGCCTTCCTGTCTTGGTCAAATACTTACAAGAGATAGATATTGTGATGATATGAGGAGGGGGAAGAAGCCTTCAGCTACACCCTGAGGCAAGTCCATGTTATATCCAGCTGATATATCCTGGTAGAATGAGTCACAAGTAGTATAAATAAAAGATGGACACAGATAAGTAACTCCAAACCCACATGGAAAAATGGAAAGCCAACAGCCAGTTCATGGAATTATGAAGATGGAGACATTCAATGAGACATTACTCAGTATCCACTCAACCCCAACAGTACAGATAAGGTTCTATGTCCTCTCCTTCACATAAGATCAAAACTAATATATACAGTGTATGGTTGCCAGGGCAAGTGGACTGCAAGCAACCAGAATTATGATGAGGAAGTAAACGACATGCACTGGACAAACATCCAAAGCAACTGTAGGAGACAGAAAGTACAACAAACTGAACCTGAACTTAGGTGGCTGTGTCTAAGCCTCAATTCAACCATAAGAACAGGAAGTTATCCTGTACCTTGTATTGCTAGTAGGAAATTAAAGATTTTAACTCAACCATAAAAGCAGTAAAGAAACATTGTGCACCTGGCATTATGAGGAGGATGTGGAACACCTGCTCAACTGTAGGAATAGGGCATCATACATCTCGAAACTGGTATTATGAGGCAGATGAAGTCCCCTGAGCTCAATCATAGGAACAGGGAAATGAAACATCCTGCAACCAGAATTACCTAGAAGGGGACATCTACCAGTCTCAAATGTAGGAAAAGTGGCTTTACATAACTGAACCTGGTATTATGAGGAGGATCTAGCATTGGCTGATCTAGCTCCTACCAACCTCAGAACACCTGGGATTAAACCTCCATGGGGTAGAAGGAAGGAGGGTTCTCAGTTTTGCCCTCTTCTCAATGTAATGGAGTGATATGTAATGTTGTGATCTGTGTCCTACAATCATGAAGAAGCCTCCATGGTCCACCATCTCAGTGGCTAGGAACTGGGAAGTGGCAAGGACTCCCAAACTCCACTCAAGGAAGAGAGGGGGAAAAGATGCTGGGGAGTTCAGAGAAATGACAAACCTGAGAAACTGCAATGGGTGACTGCAAAACCCTATTTTTAAAAGCAGACTGCTCCTGATTTATGCAATCTAGGAAGCAGCAGGGATGGGCAGCAATCCCCTTCTGCATTTACTCATGACAGTCCATGAGTGACAGTCTGCCATGTACTTATCAGAATTCTACATATGGAGAAACATATATATATATATATACCAATAGGTAAGACACTAGTGATCTTGCAGAACAACCCATCTCAACAGTGTGCATTATAGCCTTAAAAGTATTTGATGAGGGTTTATAGGAAAGCATACCTATCCAGGCAACTCTCAGCACTGAGTGGGATCTGAATATATATCAAACAGGCTCCTGAAATAAAACAGAACAGTAAAAGACACTTCCCCAAGTTAGAGTCGAACCAGTGCATGCAGAATTGCCACACGAGGTAGACAATATCCACCAGAGAAGTAAACAGCCATGGTTAAGATGAAGAATGTGAAAGGACTTGGAAAAGGAGGAAAAGGATGGGTGAGGATAAGACCCGGGGGAATCTACTGAAATGAAATGTGTTCAACAATGTTACTCTATAACCAGAAACTGTCAAAATTGAAAGATTCTAATGAAACAGCCAGGTAATAAAATGGTAAAGGTGAGGAATACAAGGATGGGAGGGGTAGAAACCATGTCGGAGAGACCAACAATAAAAAGTGGTCCAAAGTTGTTGGTAAACCAACAATGTGGAAGGTCAGATCAAGAGGGAAAGGAAAGAAGGAACATACAATGTCAGACTCTGTCTTTGTGTAAGGGGCTTGACAAAAGTCATGTGTGAAGACAGAGGGTGGAAAAGGTGGCATGGAAGATGTTCAAATGAGGTTGATAAAGGAGAGAAAGAGGGAGGGGCAGAGGTGATGATAATTTTACAAGCCTCAGGAGTGGAAACCAAGGCTGAGCCAGCAAAAACAGAGCTACCAAGAGTGATTGGGATTAGGGAGATTACTTAGGGGAGGTGACATATAGATAAGAAGGCATAAATGTAAAGGCCCCTCCATTCTTGATTGAAGGCATCTACCTCTAAAGCCTGTAGATGAGGAAATGGAGACAAGAAAAATGGCAGTATGTTGTTCATATGGGTGGCAAATGCATCTATGTGCAAGGTTTATAGATGAGAACATAACCACCAGAAAACTTGAACTTCTAGGTACCACTGTGTGGGAATGACCTTATGCAGATGTGATAACCAAATCATAACAAAATTCCAAACTCCCGGAAAATGGCAAGCCAAGGGCTGTATTTGGTGCTCATGGGCTCAAAAGAGGAACTACAGAGTCCAAAATCAAAGGGACCTGGATTTGGTATTCCCTTGCTTGGTGAGATATGAGACGACTGTGGAGCTGTTGGAAAGCATCATAACCACCTCCCCTTTCAAAAGATGGAGGAAATGATACATTCCTTGATGAACAACCAAGAGCTTCAAAACATTGATATATGCACCTTAATCCACAAGAAAAGCATCAGTAAAAAGATGCAGGTCCAGACAAGGAGGTGAAAGAGAAACACCAGCCATAGTATTGTCTCTGTCCAACCATCAAGCAAAGTTGATGCAAAAGGAAGTAGGAATGACAATTGGTTGATAAAAGGGATCCAAGCTGGAGTTCCAGCAATTAGGAAATTCCCACTGGAGAGAACACATGTGAGTACAACCAAGGGGTATGAGAGCTTCCAAGGAAGCCCACATCCCCAAAAAGAGATAGAACCTCTCGAGCTGGAAGAGAATAAGAGGATAGAGCCTTGATGACCAACTGCCCCATATCCCAAATATGTAATGGAAAGAGCAAGGCTAGACTGAGGTGGGAATTGAAGAAAATACCTGCTCTGTAGGGAGAAAGGATGAACCTCTCCACTCTGATTAACCAACTCACACGAGCTGTCTCCTCCAGGAACAAACGAGTGTAGTCAGAAGATGCCAAACAGGAAGGAACCAGAAAAAGCCAGTCATATATATAATGATGAGACTGTAGTCCCAACAAATGTAGATGATGAGCAAAGATCTTGACTACTAGATAAAACATGTAAGGAGCCTAGGCAATTCCAAACAGAAGATTCCCAAACTGGAAAACACGCACCTCATGGAAGAACCAAAGGAAACAACATCCGAATGGAAAGATGGGAACATGAAGGTATACATCTGCTATGTAAAATCTGATCATCCACAGATCTGGAGTGAAAACCCAATGAAGGTACTAAAATTACTCTATGGCGAAACACAGAGGATCCTGAAACTGATTTAGATGAGAAAGGTCAATACAGGTCTCCAATCCACAGTTTTTTTGGGGACAACGAAAAGCCAAGAGCAAAAACTCAGCTGAATGGGAAACATCAGCTCGATAGCTTCCTTAAGAAGAAGGTCTCTCAGTGACTTGATACAGGATCCCTTGAAGGAGAGAAAGGAACTGCAGACAAGGAAAGAGGAGTTGGTGACCAGAATTGAAGAGAGAGGTTCTCTGACAAAACCCACAGATCAGTAGTGAAGGTCTCACCACTGTCAACAGTGGAGCCTGGCCCCACTTTGAAGTCACCTATACCACTGTCGATGTTCTTGATAGGCATGGTAAGAACGATGATAAGGACGAGAATGTCGAGATGTGGGTAAAGGAAAAGGCATGGAAGAAGGAGGACAGGAAACAGAAATAGGATCAGGAGTCACAAAGGAGAAAGGTTGTGATAAATGATTAGCAAGGGAAGAAATGGAGGTAAGCAACCTGGACACATCAACATCTGAAGGTTCAGGATGGTCCCCAAAAATGGTGTCATGCAAAAATTGAGCCATCCTAAAGTCCCTGAGGGAAGACAAACCCCTGCGAGCAGCATGTTTACACCCAACAACAAAGCAGCCGGGTAAGTAGGGAAACGGCTGGCAAAGAGAACCTCACCAAAGTCGACCACAGAAGGGATCATAGGCCCTCTAAAAATCGTCGAGAGAATGACGAAAGCTCCCCCAGACAAAAGATGCATAGAGGAGAGGTAACGAAAAATGTAAGTAAGTGTAAGAGGAAACATCGAAAATTGTGTCTGTAAAGATGATACAGAAACTGTATGGAGTCATGACATACTAATCTCGAAGGGAAAAAAGAGGCATCATAGGAAATAGAAGAAACATTCAAAATGTGACAAACCTGTCTAATTGATTGGAGGAAAGGAAAAGAAGGTCAAACCTCCTTCAAAGGTGCAGGATGTGGACATATGGCAAAAGAAGGAATAGGAAAATGACTGTCTAAATCATTCTCATCCTGAATAATCTCATGAGGCTGAAGAGGAACTGGCCATTGTGACGAAGAAGGCCCAAGCCCCATATAAGAAGCTAACTCTCGATGAACCAAGGCTTGCATCCCCTCTTGGCAGACAATGTAAATCCTGAGGCTTGGGTAACTTCAGGAGCCATGGTGGTAATCATAGTAAATTGCGAATTCATAATTTGTAATAATTTGTGTGAAAATGGTAATTAAAGTCAGTAACACATCAGAATGCAAGTATGTGGAAATAAAACTTCTTAAAAAAAAAGAACAAGTATATACAAAGTTAAGAATATCAGGGAAAAAAATTATTGAAAACAAAAAGCAAGTGAAAAACACTTCTAAATCATATTGTACCAATCGAGAAAGTGAGGCTCCCATAAAGTAGTACAGATGAAGCCAGCTGCTTTAGGAAAGTGTGTCATTCTCCTATTGGTGGATGGTTGTCGTATGCTCTAAATAAGCAGCTCAAAATTATGGGGTATAAAGGCTAGCACATCAAGCAAGAAAATTTCTTATCAATGTGTTAGAGGGCAGTGGAAAATTGAGAAAAACTATTGAGTGGAGGTATGTATCGTATCAGAACTATTTTTTCTTTCTTATGGCTAAAACATAGAAAGTAGCACACATATGAAATATTGTAGTTTAATGAAACTTTTGTAATGTCTTCACAACTTCCTTCCTTCTGAATTTACAAATTTAGAATTAGTCACTTGATAACTTTCAAATTTATTATTAATATACTGTTACTTGGATATTTAAAAATTTCTAAAAAAGTAACTATTTGATCTGCTATTGAGTCTATTACAAGGTGAAGAAAGCCTCAAAATAAAACTTGTACAGCCAGTGATATTATTAGTAAAGGTACAACAAAAGGCATATCAAACAGTGTCTACAGTGCAAGCTTGTTATACTTGGAAAGGAAATAGGATCACAAGTGTAGTTGTATCACAATTAAAAATACCTGTCACCTGCAACAAAAGTATTTTCAGAAAGTGGAATGTTCCTCTTAGCATCCCTTATAGTCTCTAAATAAATATCTCTTCTGCAAAGAGCTTAGGTTATCAAATATTGCTCCTTGTTGAGAACTACTCTATATACTGTTCAAGAAAATATGAAATGTATTAAGTAGACTGGTATCATTACATAATAAAAAGCTTTACTGTTTAGAAAATATAACAATTTTAGAAATGAAAACAAAATTTATATATACCGAATGTTATAATCCATCTGAATACTACCTACTTCCACTTTCTTCCTGAGATTTTCTTCATGTTCTTTACATTGTTTTTTTGCTTGTATTATATCATTTGCAACTTTGTTTTTCGTATATCTAATTTCCATTTCAGTTCGGGCTTTGGCTTCTTGCAGTTGATTTTTTAGGTGAAAAATTCTTTCCTCCAAGTCATTTAATTCCATTTCTCCCATCTTTTTTATTTGTTGAATTTCATTTTGGAGTACCTTTACTTTTTGACACTTGTTTTCTGCTCTTCAGGAAAGAAATTTATATGTAAAAATGACATTTTCATCTTTTATTCTGTAAATTGTTTCCTAATTGTGACTTATATTTCAATACAATTAAAAGATTATCACTTCTGATTCAAGCTAAGTGTTACATTTGTATAATTAAATGAACTTAAAGTATGCTTGTAACTCTGAAATACTCTAAATCATTTTTACTGAGCTATTCTCACTCTGTCCTTGATTCAATATGTTACGTGCACAACCTTACTCAAAGTTCTCTTAATCTCCAACTTCCAAACTTGACTTATTATACAAGCCAGGGGAACTACATGATCTCTGTAAAGTGAGTGGGAATTTATTTCAGAAGTATGCTTGAAAGTTATTCTAATTATAAAAACGTAATATTCAAATCTAGTAGACTTAACTTACCTCTGAAATACTGTAAGTTAGAATACTTACACTGAGATAGAGAAGGGAACCCAAGCGTGACATAACAAAAGGCACCTGGATCACCAGGTGCTAAGCTCTGAAACAGGAAAGGTAAACATACTTAGAACACAACATCAAGGAATTGAGAGATCAAACAGAGCTTGAGCAAAATCCAAAACCAGAGTGATAAGAATTGGACTGGATTTATTTGGAAGAAATGGATGGAGATGAGAATCTATGAGAGACTGGACCAAAAATGTAGAGACCAGAAGGGAAAACAATTACTTTAAGCAGAATAACTATTCACCATGACACTCTTTAATTACAATATAAAGGGGATCAGGCAGTATGGATATACCTGGGTTGTCATGCACGTTTGTAGGTGTTGTCTCAGGCTGTGAATAGACATGTATCCATGTACTTGTTAGTGAAATATTATTATTAGGGAAGATCAGTAATCAAGCAAACATTGGATATATTCCTGGGGCTCAAATCTCTATCACCTGAAACAAAAAATGCTAGCAAAGTAAAAAAAAATCCTAGTAAGTAGGCAAGCAGGGAGAACACAAATGGACCCAAGAGGTCTTGAGGATGGAGTCAAGAACTTAAGGACAGTGAAATGGGAACACAGTAAGTAAATAAAAGTGAAAATTAAGCTGTACAGTGTATTCTATCCTAGCTGGAGTAATGAGACACCAATTGGGGAATGGTATTCATATCTCCAATATTCCAAAACTATACAAAGACAGGAATGTGGAGGTGTGAAAATGATCTAATAAGACATTATATGCCACCTGATGGAATCTTCTGTCCACTTCTAAAAGGCATCAGTCAATCATGGAGACCCAGCATTGAGGATAGAATAGTGTTTAAGACAGCTGCAGACGTAAAAGGAAACATATGAGAGCTCTGACTAAATAAAACCACTTAAATATGAAGTTATGTTACAAGAGAGGAACCATTAAGACTTTTTCAAGGTGTGTAACTGAAATTCCTTATAAGGAATTCCACTGCCTTAAAGTATCACTACAGGAGGCAAATTTAATCCTGAAGCTGAAAAGGCAGTGTTGTCATGTAAATAAAATTTATAAATATATTTGGATTTGTTCACATACTTACCAGTAGAATGTTCTCAAAGGGTTAATTTATTATTGCAACCAGAATATCAAACAGTCAACAACAATGCCAGATGTCAAATTTAGTAAGGTGGATCCAAAAGTTCACTTTTAATATGAATGGGTACATCACAGTAAACAAGATGGATCAAGTGCATAAGCCAATTTGTAAATGTTGCCAGAGCAAGATCCAAGGAGAGCAGTTCATTATAAGCATAATCAACCTTTTCAAGACTCCCTAAATGCTTGGGTTCATGCAAGATACCAACAAACAGCTCTGATGGAACATAAAAAAAGCAGTTTTATGAAAGTGAATCTGGGTCAGTCAGAACAAGTAACATAATAGGTGAGAAACAGTAACTACCTTCCCTTACAGCTAATATCAAAAGATATAAAAATCAATACATATTATTCTTAAAAAGCTTAATCAAGTTCATATTATAGCATTTGTCGTTCATGCAATTTGATAATATAAACAGTGTCTCAAACACTACTGTGTCTGTTATATCCCAGCAATCCTGATGAGCCCTCATCAGCATTGTATATAGCAGATATAGTGTGGTTGATATACAGTTATACACTCTTTTTTGCTTTCACTTGTAAGTTCTTAGAATTAGGTAGGAAGGCTCTATTTGGATAGAAGTACAGAATCTTCCATTGAAATAAAATATGTGATGCATTGAGGGCATAGATACCCAAATGACTCTTGATGCAGGTAAAAGTAAACAAAATGTCTTCAAGGAAACATGATAAAGTGAACAAGTCCCTATAGATTCAAGAGGAGGAGGGTATAGATTCCCCATCAGAAAAATGAAATAGCAAGAGTATCATTGTCAGGCTGGTCAAAGAGGAGTGATGATGAGAACCTAAAGCTTTGTAGATTTGACTTTGACTAGTACCAGTGGAATAAAGTGAAGTGGAGGGTATGCAAAATGGTAGGAATTATTCCAATTTTGATTCAGGTGTCCATAGTGAATTAAGATGGATATAAAAATAGAGACCACTAGTGTAGTAGAAGATGGTTATCTGCTGTTTCAAGGCATCAACCATTGGATGACCCAGCCATTCACATAACCATTGACAAATTAAAGGAGGAAGAAAATATATAAACTCCAGACTGACATGATAAACTGCACAAAGTTCTAATAAGTTGATGTGAAATGCTACTACCTGTATATTCTACGTACCAGAAAGGTTCGGATCTCCCAACACAGTACCACAACCTATAAGAAAAGCATCTGTGAAACGATGAAGACTGAAAGAAGGATGAAGAAATGGGAACCTGCAGTTGTAAATTTTCACTTCAACTACAGATGAAAAACCTTGATTTATTAGGAAAAAGAAATATATTGTGAGATAATGAATTTGTAGTGAAATGCCCTGCGAAGCAAAATCCCAGTGGAGATTGTGCATGTAAGCACAACCACAATGAAGTGAAGCTGTCATACCTAAAGCACAAAAGATGGCTTTGGCAGTAGAAGTTAGTTGAGGCTCCATAGGAGATAGTAAAGAATCCTCTGAATTGCTTTTATCCATAAACTAAGATGGACCAAATGTTGAATTGGTACTAAATGAAAGTTAGTGTCATGAATGATCCACTTAAAAGATGTACCACACTGAGTGAGCAACTGAGTGTGTGCTAGAGACTGTGGACAACAGAGCAAGAAACTAAGAAGCAAAAGGTCCATATGAAAGTGGAAGTTAATGTTGAGTGAATGGAAATGGCTGGAAAAGGCCATGACTACTCAACAGAAAATGTATGGAGCCGAAATCAGGTCAAATGGAAGAGGACGGATATGATAATCCACTTCTCAATGGCAAAAATGTAGAAAATGGTGAAATGACATATGAATCAGGATATAAATATAAGCATTTTAGATATCTTCCTTTGTCATTAAATCCTCATGTTAAAGAAATTTTTCAACATTTTCAACTTTGAAGTGAAGGGTCTTCAAAGAATTTAGAAGATTGGAGAAATAAAAGACTGGAGTAAAAATCTGGTGACATATAATGAAAAATTTCCCTAGCTTCTTTTTGTAATAGACCCAAAAATTCCTGATCCAAAGTTTATAGGCAAAGTTTGTAAGAGCAACAGATACTAAATTATTGAGAGTTGTAGACAGCAAAGACTCCACAGTAGAAAATTAATCCTGATTAAAGAAATCAGGTAAATGAAAGTAGCCAAAGTGAAATAAAACAAATAGAAATATCCTCAGGACAGATTACAAATAGGACTGGGCAAAATAAGACTTCTTCACAAACATGAGAAGACAATGTCAAATGTCCAACAAATTGGTTGTCGATACAAATGGGAAACTTGACTAGGATACCAACATATGATTCTGCATTAAGAGTTCTAATACACTGATCAATGAGAGCTGATAATACAGCCATGCGATCTTCCAGCATACTAGAAAATGACTGTGTGAAAAAAACCTCCAAAATTTTAAATCACTGAGCAATTTTCTGCATTAAAAGAAGTATTAACATTGAATTCAGAACTTATGTACAAGGCAAATGAAGACATGAAGTTTACAGCATGATTTTGAACAAGAAAATCTGGCTTGTAGTGATAAAGCAGAACTTATGTAGTTCCCCTGGTACTTGCCCAATAGGTCATAAGGAAGGCAAGAGAGTAGAGAACTTTGGATAAAGTAACATCAAGGACATTCAAAACTAAAAGTCACATGGTCGTTGACAGAGCAAGAATGACTCAACAAGAAAAGGATTAATGTTTCAGAGGTAAGTCCACTTAATTTGAAATTAAAAGTCTGTCAGTTAATACTTGTAAACTATGTTAGTTCAAATGTATTTTACAGATAAGTATAAACTATTCACCATTTGAAGCATTAAGTATCAGTTAGATCAATGAGCACTAAGAATAAAAAACATGCATAACATTTTGATGTTAAAACAGTTAGTATTATAACCCAAAAATGTAGCGTTATCTGTTTTCTAATACCATTAAGAGAAATAAATGTAATCCTGAAAACATTTTGAACTACCATATTTTCATGCAAGTAACCTGCATGCTATATGTTAAATTAGTTTTCAAAATACCAATTGCAAGGTATACTTCTGTATGGGTAATATTGTATTTTGTTTTTTGGACTGAAATTGCCAATATCCCAAATATTCATTTATGTTGTTCTTGTTCAACATGTGGAGCAGTTGTTCAATTGGCTGATAAATATGTCTGTTAGCAATTCCAGTTACCTGTATTCTCTGGTCAAAAAAAGTATAAATATGAATACTTTATTTATCAGTACTTAAATAGATCACAATTGTGACTTAATTAAGTGCTCATGTATTCCAAGACAAGTAGGTTTCACTTTGAGTGTGTCCCATAGCATCACCATAACCTTTAACATGTGACTGACATAACCACAGGAGATTGTGTTAAATTATTGAGATAAAAGTTTTTTTCTGTAAGTTTAATTGGAATATCTTTAATATCTTTTGAACATGTTACATGCATATATCGAAATTGATATGAAATAATTAAATGACTATAATAAACAATACAGTATCTTCCTGAATAAGTTCAGTTTTTCCTGTACAATGTATAGGAAAAGAAGGAAATAAAATAACATCTTTCAAGTGAAAATATATGAATGTATGTCCACAACCTGACAATATTTTATTTAAATCAAAGTTAAAGGTAAATTGCCTTCTGTAAAGTTATCAAAGTCCCCATCTTCTGCACTGCTGTGAAACAGCTGAAACAGCTCTAAGTCGGTAAGTGTGTCATTGCTCTCATATTCCTCTTCTCCAGAAGTCAGCCCACTTTTCTTAAAAGCATTCAAAATGGTTGATACTTTGATAGCATTCCATGCTTCTACATCCCAATGGCAAACTTTGGCACAGCTGGACTTCTTTATTTTCCCAGAGGCTGTATATTTGTACAGGCCCTTCATCATCCATTTCTCTCAACATTCATGGATCTTCAGTTTCAACACTCTGTTTATGGTGAGGTCAAGTGGCTGAAGTTTCTTTGTGAGCCCTCAATGGATCATGGCTATTTCAGTGTAAATGTTTTTAAATTTCTTCCTGACAAAGTTGCACTTACAGGCTGACACAGAGTCAAATACAAGGAATGATTTCTTTTCAGTGAAGAAGTTTCCTGGTTGCTGATGCCAGTAGTTCCAGCCCACTCTTCCATTTCATCCTCATTCATCCAGCTCTTTTTGTCTGCCCTCACAAAAATTTGAGTGGGGAAATTATTTTTGGGCAGAGATTTTCTTGTGAAGATGATCATCGGCAAAATAGTACAAGTGTGAAATTTGTTTTCTCATGTCCTGCAGTCATGATGCTGACTGCCGAGGAGTATTTTTGTTTCAACAGTCCATGACAGCAGGATATCATATATAACGGCCGCCTCGTCTTCCAAAATTTGTCTGTGTTGTTGGCTTACACAGTATATATGAGTGGGTAATAAGTGCCTAAGAGTTTCTTAGAGCATTTTTGTCCCTCAGGTGTAGGGTATACCAGGGGGCAGGTTATTTACATGAAAATATAGAAATTCATAGATTGTTTTAACATCTGCTGGTGATGTGATCAGGATGATTTCTGATTTAATTTATAAATATTATTTGTGAAGACTGATTATCACTTCTACACAAATTTAAGATTTTCAATTTTATTTATGAATATCTGAAACACACTGGAAATGAGATGAGAATTCTAGATATAGTTTTTATGTCATGTATCTATACATTTTGTATTATGATCAGATAATTTGAAATGCAAGCACTTCCAGGTACAATTATTTTAATGGTAATGTGTGCACTATTTTTCAGTTTTTCCAGTGGTATTATATTTTAGGGTCAGTACATAAAGCAATCATAAAATATTATGGAAATGTTATCACATATCAGATTACTTCCACTGCAAGGTGTTCGTTTCTTACACAAAATATTTTGAACTCTATTGTTTCAGAAAGTCATGCTAAAAAAGAAATTTGAAAATTTTCCAATGAGTGATATAGTGAAGTTATATAAACTCAAGCATAAAGCAACTGCATTAAATAACACACATAAAAAAATATGTTAGCGTTTAGTTAAACCAGCATCATATTTTATCAAACATGTAAAAATTATACTAATTTTAGCACTATTATAACCTTCAGACAGCACATTTTATCAATAATAAAAAATAAAATATTCCAAGTGTATTTATTGATTTGCAATCTGAAAAAATGGGTCTTAGTGCTGATTTATTAAAAAAGAACTAAAAACTATATATCTATACGTACTTCTGAAGTGCAGCTTCATGTTCCTTTTTGTTCTTTTTCTCCTTTTCTAAAGTTTCCTTTAATGAGTTTAATGTTCCTTTTTCTGACACTTCTTTTAGCATTGTTGAAAATACAGAAGCTAAAAAGTTCCTTGAAAACAAAATTATTATAAAAATGTAGTAGCTATACCTACACAGTTGTAAGAAATATATGTTTTATAGAAGAAACTGATAGTTAGCAATATATATATATATATGTATATATATATGTGTGTGTGTGTGTATATATCAGGGTATATATATATCAAAATTTCTAACTAGTCCACTCCAAGAATATATATATATATATGTGTGTTAATTTCATTTTATGAATTGCAGATGTGAATTTTTGATATGCAACTATATATATATATATATATATATATGTGTGTGTGCATATAAGTAGTAACAATTAAATAAAACTATCTAACTAGAAAGACAACTAG